CACAGGAAAACTGCTGATCAAAAAGGGTTAAAATTCATATCCCAAGTGCCTGCTGCTTCAGAAGTGTACTGTGGACTTTGCACAGCAAACAGACATGTAATTGGACTTTGAGTGAACGCCTGTATATTTAGCAACTCTTAGTAGAGCAAAAGCACGTAGGTGTTCAGCAAGACGCAGACTTGTAAGTGAAACATCACACAGCTAGTCCTGCTGGAGATGACATTAAAATAAGGGCTTTTCTCATTTTTCAACTGCTGCAAAAAATAGGTGATTATTAGCTTCAGTTTGACTCATAAGTTCTAAAGTACTTGGGTTAACACTGAAGAGAAAGAAGTGTAAAAGGAACAGTCAGCACAGTCACTTCAGGGGATTATATAGCCCTTACCTGGTGAAGAAGCTTGTTTTCATCATCTTAACTACTTCTTGCTCCATGGTTGAATGCGTTAAAATAGTGATACTGATTTGACATTGCCTTAATTATCTGCTATTGGGAAAAGCAACCCTGAGAAAAGCCCAATTTCATCTGTTAAAAAGAGGTGAATGGAAACAAGGGTGTGTATGGTGGGGTGGAAGTACTGCCCAGTTCCCGACATCACCAGGACAAAGACATCACCAGCGACAAATACTGTCCGCAGCAGCTGATTTAAGGGCATTTGCAGAGCAATTTGCCAGTGTGCCTTTTTAAATTGAAATCAGTTTTGCTTTTCCTCCTACTTAACATGTTTTGCAACAAAAGGAGTGTTGCATAACATTTGTATTTGTTAACTACTAACAGTTATCAAAGGATAGCTAATTTTGGTGCACTATTGGCAGACCTTTGGGGAGAAGCACATAGTTTGTGGCAGATGCATCATGTCAGCAGCAAAACTCATGTCAGGTGAAATTCAGAATTAAAATGTTTCTTTTTGTATTAGAAGGTCTGGATTCTACTCTGGAGCAATTGCCAAAAAGGGACTCTTGAAAAATCAGTGTTTCAGCTAAATAATAAAAATAGTAGCCCTGCCTTTTATTGCTATAAGTAATGCATTAAAGGACATCTCCATAGTGAAATTGTGCTTTTCTCTGGATACTTTTCCTAGCAGAGGGTATTTTTCCTGATTGAATGCCAAGTCAATGTCAAAGCAACCAATTACAGCACTTAACTGAGCACAGGACAGCAAAAATTGAAGTCAAGCAGTCTATAAAGTGTGAAATCTGTGAAACCATGTAATTCACAGCTCAGTTTTCTCTCCTCCTGCTGTCACTTCCCAGCCAGAAGCCCCTGGATAACTAGCGAACACTTGCAAGGTCTCGTGAAGGAAGTAAAATCCTGACAAGGCAGCACTTGTTGGGAGGTGGCAGTGGAAAGGTGACTTTGATGTTTCCTTGGCTGGCATTGTACAGCTCTCAAAGGACATGTATGAACTTGTTGAGAACATGGTGATGCAATCAGGGGAAGTGTTTGGCCCAGAGAAAGATGGAGGCACCATGAAGCATTGGTGGAGCTAAGGATGTAGTAAGGCATGGTTTACAGGGAGGAGTAGTGATGTTTCTGTTACAAGCCACGTGAGATAGGTGGGCAGGAGGACTTGCAGCATGAAAACTCACGGGGACTCACACTGATGGGGACAAGCATAATTAGCTCTGACTCAGTTGTCACATTAGTGCCTGTTTAAAGCCTCCCCTCCAGGGCTGCTCTCTACATCATACCGTACATGAGATTGCAAGTTTGTTTTCAGTAGAAATTTGTCTTTATTTGAAAACGTGAAAAAGGATGATGCTAACTGAGGAAAAGACTTGGATATCAGACCTTAACCCAATGTTGAAGTGCACCATTGCAGAGACCACAGGTACACCAAAGAGTAACATCTAGTTTACATTCCCTGCTGTGTTTTCACTTTGCACAGAAGTCCAAAACTGTATTCTTTCCTCAAAAGGAGACTTTAAAACAAAAACTGAACTTTCTAATTGAAGTTTAGCTTCACTGCTATCAAGAAGAGTCCACACAGCCTATGCTTGCGCTCTCTTCTGGGTCTATTAAAATCTTTTGTTTCAAGCCTTTCCTTCTGCAAGCATCAAAAGCTGTGGTCTGGTGGGGTTTTGACCTCCTCAGAGGGAGAACTTTTACTCACAAAACAGGCAGACTTGTTCCTGTAGTGTGCATGACCATATAAAGTGTCCAAGTGGAAAAAATGGCTAGTTCATGACTCCTGTGTGATTCATGGTTTCCTCCAAGTCATTACTCTGGTCTGGTGTCATTTTCTTATATATGTCACTCCAAAGCTATAGAGGGGAACAGCAGTAAGTTCGCTGGTGCTTCATTTAGTTGGCTGCAAGTTAGTTTAGACAGTTCCAGGCTTGCAAGGTGAAATATTTGGCATAAAATAGGTGGGGAAGATAGAGTTGCAGGAGAGTTACGTAGGGCTCACTGAGCGAGAAGCTTCTTAGTTCTCTAGGAATTTCCACGGTTTGTGTTTCTGGCCAGCCTGTGTACAGCAGGTGGTAACATAACTGAGATTTTTTTGTCTTGGCAGGATAATGATTGGTGGCTGCCTCCCTAAATCTTGTGGGTATCTGCAGCCTAGACATGTTTTAGAGCTTGCATGCTTGGGAAGATAGCATTCAGTAATCCCAAGATTAATTTCTGCTTAAAGTTAGTAAAACTAAAAATCAAACTTACTAAAAATACAATTTATCCGTGAAGACTGGAGGCAAGGCGCTAACTTGCCTGCCTTTCTCCAATAAAACCAGTATTGAAACAGTTAAAGTGATCTTTAGTTGACTGCTTACCCAGGGGTAGCAGAGCCCCTTCCAGGAATGCAGGGTGGAGAGGAAATCCACTGCTTTCTCCCATTTTGGCTGTTTTTCACACCAACTTAAGCTCTTATCAGAAGCTGATGTATTTAGTGACTCCCTCTCCTGACTAAATGAGTTGGAGGCAGGAGCGGTTTTTAAAAGAGCGACTCAGAGCCCAGAGCATCAGCAGGAGCCCAGCCCTGGGGAGGCTTCGCTGAGCACCCTCCGGGACTGCTGGAGTTACTCTCTTGTGCAAGGACCCGCAGGCTCTTCTTGGCAGGAGCAGAGGGACTGACTGGGAAACTGAGGCAGCGGCTGGCCCATCCTAGTGGTCCTCCTTATACCAGAGAAGTTCAAGGTCGGTAAGTTTGTCTGCTACTAGTACAAAGTACAGCTCAGCTTGTAAAGTGTAAGGGTTCTGGGGGCAGTTTGTGTTGCAATGTGCATGGCATTACCAAGTAGTTAAAATTTAAGGCACTGATAACATGGAATTGGTTATAGCTGTTATAAGTCACCTATTTTGAGTTATTACCTAGATCTGGTCACTGTCAATGTTACTTGGATATTTGATATGCTTTAATTAAGCTTTCCCACATATTTAGAGATATGTTTGATCTTTGGGAATTATTTTATTCTTGATAGTGCCTTACTTGAGAAATGTAATGCGCAAGAACTATCAGAAGCCTCTAACAAAGTCACTAGAAGTCTCTTTTAGTAGATGGGGCAGGAGAGGGATAAGCGTCGAGTGGTTACCAGTAACTTGAAGTGGTGCTAAAGCTCAGATTTTTGTCATTACTGAGGTTTCTGCACTGCCTGCTAGATAGGCATCCAGCCTGTTTTGTCTACATCTCTCAAATGTTTGGTTACATTCTTCAGGCATAAATCTGGTTATTTTGCTAGTGTTCAATTTTTAACGTGGCTAATCATAGTGGCTCACATTCTTTGTAACTGATGTAGTAATAACAAATTCAGTTGCTATAGCTGGAAAATTCTGTGACAGACAATTTGGATATTGCTTTGAAATCTCTTGGCTTTACATTTTCAAATCTAATTTAAACTACTGCATGAGTTGAAAGTTGACACTTCTTCCCGATTCCACGTAGTAAAAACTTGCCTAAAGTTACATGTATGTGCGCAAATTCAGGAGCCAGGCTTTACATTTTAGCTCATCTCATGCTCTAGCCTTAAGTCTGCCTCCCATAAGGGCTTGTTTCAGTACTGACTGCAGAACTGCAACCAGATTTGCATTGAAATGGAGGTTTTATTGTAACTAGGTCCAGGGACACATAACAATTTTACAGGTGTATTGGTTTGAGCTTTAGTGCTGAGACTTTAGAGGCAAGATTTACATTCCTTGTCCAGCAGGTTCAAATTACTTTTTTCAGTGGCTAGTTAAGTTTACACCATCCTTCCTCTTTAAAGAAGTTTTGTGGGGGGTAGATTAAGCTGGATTGTGCTGCGAACATGAGTCATTACAGATCATTCTGCATGTGAAGCTGTGCTCTTCGGGTGGATACTGAAACCAGTAGGGCTTGACAAATTCAAATAGCTGCAGGACTTCCCCTTTTGTTCCTTTCCAGGAAAGGACCATCTCACCTGCTCACCCAGCAACTGTTAAAACTGGTAATTTTGGGATGAAGACTGCAGCAGTTTTAGCAGTGTTTCAGCTCTTGGAAAAGCAGGAGGGGAATGTGTTAATCGTTGCCATCAGCCCTGACGACTACTCCTCTTGGGCAGTCAGGGGATTGCTGTCTTGTGAAGATTTTCATTGTGGTTCATTGTGACTCAGCCTCTGTTTCCCACCTCTGACTCAGGGGTTTCACCATGTTAATAGTTTGCCAGTGGCATGATGGAGACTGGCAGCTCCCTTGAACTGGCAGGTCCTCAAGTTCCTCACCATGCTGTGCCACTCCTAGAGATGGCCAGAGTCAAAGTATCCTCCCCAGTCCCCGTGAAGTGGTCCCAGTTGTTCTGACATGGCTATTTGTCAGGCACTGGGCAGGACAAAGCAGATCAGTTTGGACAGAGCAGTTGAGGTACACGGTAACGTTAGCCCTGCATGCATATCTTTAATGACTGCTGTATGATGCTAATTTTAAACACTGGTTTCCTGAAGCTTCTAAGAAGTGGAAGTGGTTAAACTCAAGACCAGGTTTCTCATCTTAACTGGTACATGACCCTTCTCATTTATAGGTTTGTACTATAAACAGCTAATCACTGCCACAATGACATCTTCAAGCTCTGCCCAGCATCCAGCAGCTGAGAATGCGTGCAGAATCACACTCGGACAAGTTAACCAGGTAATTATCTCTCCCACTTACCTTCACTGCTTTCTCCTCACTAAAGGAGTGATTTCTTCCATCGAATCAAAGCTTTCAAAGTACATTTAAGTAATAAGAATTTAGCCTGATGGAATAGGACTTTTATCCTGGAGGTCTGTTAGCTTTCAGTATCAAATCAATAATTTATGAACATTTTAAAGGGGATGAGGGGGGGAAAAAGCAGTTAAAACAGGCCATACAAGAAACTGTATAATGCATATTTATGTTGTTGGACTTATACTTGAGGAATTCCATATACAGAGTCCAGCACTAGGAGGAATGCTGTGACAGTTATATTGGAGCTTTGTAACCTTGTATGCCAAACTTTGTTCAGGCAGTAATGCATCTCCATGCCTTTTTTAGTGTCAGCTTAGGTAAGTATTGAACATGTAGTACTCACATTATTGACTATTCCTAGAGTGACTCTGGAACAAAAGGTAGATATAGCTGCAAGCCAAGGCCAACGTGGCAGCCATGTGGTTTGAGTAGTCTGGCTCTCACGCCATGTTGACAGCCAGAGACATTTGCAAACAATAACTGCAGAAATCTGGTCTAAAAATCATGAAGATTTCTCCATTACAGGCATCTGACCTTCCAGATGCAAGTCATTGTAAAAAGCATCTCCACAATATAAGGGGATGTGGCAGGAGTAGAAATAGGCTGATGGGAAATTGAGAGGTCCTCCTATTTGAGACTTAATTTAGACGCTTTGAAATGTAGCCAAGTCCTGGGCAGAATTGATGTATATGCTCATTTATTCAACTCACTCTGCATGAAAAAATAAATAAATAGGCTCTGGTATTAGTAGAAAAAATATTGACTGTCAACAGTCAGTGTCCTAGGCAGTGCAGAATAAACACTTCCATTTCAGCTGTACTGTAGTAGCTACAGGCCCATTTTAAAGTAATCAAGCTAAGTAGGTTACTTCTTTAATCAGAAAGAGACATACAAGAAGTTACTTCAAAATCCATTTGAAAGTGGTCATTAGAGAAATAAATGAATGCAAACACATAATTTCATCTTATTAAAAACACATGCTTACACAAGCACTTATTTGAGTTGTGCTAAGCTTTTTCCTAGTAAAAAAGCTATTCTTGAGAAAGAGACCAGGGGCTGGACATGAGCTGTTCTGTTTGGGCTTGAAAATGCATTTAACAAACATGAGAAAACAGGCAGACCAGACACATTCACAGAGGAGATAATTTTTTTTTTTTACAATACTAAAAAACAGTGAAACAGATACCTTGTCAAGATACTGTCTGATAGCTGAGTGACAAATTAAATTCATGACAAGCAACTAAAACCTGCTGTCCTTACCTTGCATAGGAAAATGGTGCTGCAGCTCAGGCTGCTTCTGGAGGAGATACTGCAGGCAAACCCCACTCCTTGGGCAAGAAAGGGGACATTGCAATTGCATTTATATAGGCAGAAGGAAGGGGTGGGTATGAGACACAGGTGAACCCATGTAACATTGATAGGTGAAGGCCTTTTCTAGTTAACACAGATTACATGCCTTGAGAGCATAAGCCTTGCCAAAGTGTAGAGGAAACGACAATGAACATCATGTGCTGAGGACTGGACTTTCTGTCCTGCGAGACTGAAATATCTTGCTATATTAGTGTCTGATGGATGAGGAGAACAGAGGAAGACGTTCAGTGTGGGAAACATGCATTAGCATACAATATCGTACACAATTGTATAGCATTCAGAGAACAGTGGGGGCTTTCTGACATTTTTAGGGAACACAAGGCAAATCACGTGGTGGCACTCTCCTACGAATTGTTAAAATTGTTGTGGAATAGACGAAGTAGCAATGTAGGGGGGAAGTAGCTATTTAAAACTTGCTGCTGTTTTATATAGCATCATCTGTCTTACCCGCTACTCAAGGCTGTTTGGGTGTGTGGGTGAAACCTAAACCATTTATGGAGCAGCTGCATTGTTCCCAGAGTGCTTTATATTTTATGTAATAAAGATTTTGGGTGATGAGTGAGCTCCACAGAAAATACAGGTTCTGATACTTGGTGTTAATTAACTACACCGTGCATTTAGTGCAGTCTTATTATGTGCCTATTCCTGGATCCTAATAAATACACCTTCCCTAAGGTCTGTACAGAGCAGACCCCATTTGTTCACTGCACTAATTGAGAAAATTCAGGCATTCTGCTCTTGAAATGGCAATCTGAATGCACCATCACTGCTCCTAAACATATGACTCAGTACATCTGGTTAGTCACTGCCTAGGACTCCATACCAAGTGTCTGAGTTTCCAACCTTCCCTCACAGGATGAATGACATCAAAGTTAATGGGACAATGTGTGTGACTAAAGCCTTTAGAAAACTGGCTGCCCAAATTCCTTGACTTTTTTTTGTCTTGCACTTGAGTCAGAATGATTGTGCTGATTTTCAGTCCTTCTGACTTCTTTTTAAGTGTTTGTCCATGCAGATCACTCGTGAAAAAATACCAGCCTTCAGCAGGTTAGCCTGAGGCAAGCAATGTTTCCCCACAACCTCCAACTCATACCATGGTTGTCATGCAGGTGTGGGTGCCAGGGTGACATGCTTTCCTCAGCAGAGCACTGCTTCGTGTCATTCAAACAAAACTCTGCGCTTTGTGTTCCAGGTGCGACCCAAACTGCCGCTTCTGAAGATTCTGCAGGCTGCAGGTGCCCAAGGTGAAACCTTCACACTGAAGGAGGTGGGCGCAGTTTCCAGGCACTGACACCGTGCCTGTCCCTGGTTGGTTGGGAGATGGCTCTTTGTGGGGAAGGGATGGGACTGGCTATGAATTTTTCAGTACTTTGAAGCCCTGTCTGCAAAATAGGGATATCTTACCCATAGGGCCGTTGTGATTTGGTTGATCATAAATTGCACCGAGAGCCCCTGGAGGAATTGGAATAGGAGTGTGAAATATTACAGAAAATTAGTTATCCTGGAAAATCAGAAACCTCTTCAGAGAAAGGAGAGATGGGATAGCCACATTCCTGAGAGCGTGTAGGAGATTCTGTTCAATTGTTTTGCTCTCTGCTCAGTGCATGAAAGCCTTAAAAATTGAATTCCACTTGATATTTTTCTTTTAACTTTTCTTTGAAATGGCTTGTCAGCTAAACCTAAGAGACCCTGTGAATTCATTTATTTTAAGATTAAAATGCAATATGTGTACAAGATTAAAAAAATGACACTGACTGTGATTTACAAGAGTATCCCGTCTGCAAAGAATTAAATGCAGTGGTTTTTCATTATGAATGTGTCAAATATTCCTGCAGAGCCCTGTGAGTTATTTTAAACACTTATGCATTTAAATAACTTATTTAGCTTCTAAAAATTTTTGCAAAAACAAATTGAATGGTTTAAATGGGGGGACTTGAGTATTAAATGCAGGTTACGTGTATAGATTAACATTTTAACTCAGTTAAGTCATTTTTTTCTGCAGTGAACGGAGTACTGTTAGCAATTTTTTGGTGACACTGTTATTCAGGAGGGTCACTTTGGTGGGTAATGGGGGGTGGAACCTGCCTATATTGTCCTTAATGCACTTTGCTTTCTCCTCCTGTACTCTGAATTCCTCACTGCAGCTGTCAGTGTCAGCTAGCTCGCAGAAGATATTCCTCTCCGTCTTTCTTTGTGATGCTAATGCACTTACTTTTGCATCTTGCAAACTGTCTCCTGAGGGATAGCACTGTAACTTGTGGTCATCCTTTGGTTATAGCTTATTCTTTTAACCGGGGATGCCTTCTGCCTCCTCCCCACCTATTTCCTTCTCTTTACTGAAGAGCTGTGGTCTCCATCTGCAGCTCTCACTGAGGGATACTGCCAGATAAAAGTGTTACCACCCATGCCGTGTTTTGTTTTAATGTGGGGTAGGAGAGTGACCGCTGTTTGTCCATCTCTGACTCAGCTTTCCTTCTTGTCAGGGGTTAGTAGTTACCAACCTTACAGCAATATGGTAAAGCATAACTCCCCCTTGGTTGGGAGGCACCGACGAATTGCAGATGTGCATAAAAAGCAGGTACTATTTGACTCGTACTGTGTAGGGTAGCAGGAGGAAAGTATCATAAACTAAAGCAAAGTTCCAGGGTCTTTGGTGGTTTGGTTTCAACTGCAGATACGACTAATGGTATGTTATGTATCCACAGGTTATGCATTACTTAGGACAGTATATAATGGTGAGGCAGCTATATGACAAAAGACAGCAACATATGGTCTACTGTGGAGGAGATCAGCTGGGAGAACTGCTGGGACTGGAAAGGTTCTCTGTAAAAGATCCAAGGTAGGAAAAAGTGACCTTTAACGTATGTTGTATTATAGAGGTTGCCAAGCTGAGACAGGAGACTCTTGGTGTCACTGTTTCTGTTCACTGTCGCATAAACCTCTGAATACCAAGTGTCCTGCTCAGTATCGTGCTGGTAATGCATTTGATAAGTTTGAATTAAGCTCCTTTATTCTGAAGAGCCAGTTCTGAATGGTCCAGGCAGTGAGCTGCTGGAGGTGACATCTTCCCCGCTTTTATTTCTGCATCTTCTCAGGCCCATTATCTCACACTTAAGTGAAAATCTGCATCCTTCAGTTAAGTTCTGAGCTTATACTTCTCTGTAGCAAGCATTTAGGAGTGGCAAAAAAAACCCATTGCAGTTTCCAGTATCTCTGGATAATAAAAGAGAATTTCTGTTCCTGGTTTAAAAGGATAATGCTGTTTGGTTTCCTGAGTGTACTCAACTGTTGCCTGCTTTCCCACAGCCCAGTCTATGACATGTTGAAACGGAACCTGACTTCGGCTGCAATGGCAGGTAGGTTTGTCACAGTATGGGCAAGTATATTCAATATAGTGTTGATATAATTTGGGTAAGTAATGCTATTCAGAAAAGAGAAATGTTTCTGAAGTTGGAACAAACTGTTAATGAAGGCTTTGACAAGAATGTCTTTGAGTATGTGTCTTTTCTGTGTGTCCACCATCAGTAGCTGTGATAGCAAATCAGTTAGCTGTTTGAGTAACGTGGCTGCCTATAGCCAATGGCCAAACCTCAGAGCAGCAGACACACTCCGTCTGGAAGCACACTGACAGAGCTAAATACTGTGGATGTATAAATCAACGTGGCTGAAGTATCCCATCCAAATAATAATTAATTTCTCAGTCTTTTCTCAGTTTCGTAGCATGCTGCGACTTCTTGCTCTCACCTCGTTTTATACTTTCATAGTCTTGAAACTGAATATGAGAGCGCTGTGGAAGTGCAGCCTAGTTCTGCAAGCCAAAGAGGTCTGGACTTCAGTCAAACACTTGAACCTTTAAAAGTCATTTTTACTTTCCTAGCTCATAAAAGAAATCAAATCTATCTACATCAAAATGCATTCAGTCATAAATTAAAATTTATTCTTAAATTTCAGCTGATGGCTTCCTTGCAGCCAGTTGCCATTGTATGGCTGGTAATATTAATTTAAAAAAGACTTCTGATAAAACTGAAAGTGTGCAACTCATGAGGGAGATGCGCTGGGAGAGTTGCAGAGTCTTGTGCCATACTTCCTGGGGTCTCTCAGCAGATAATATGGACTTAGTTCTTCTTAGTTTGTTTTTGCACACGTACATAAAAGCTTGTGCAAATTTAGAAACGATTTGAGAAAACATGGCCCTAAACTGCCTAGTGCTCTGCTTTGAGCTATGTATTGGTGCCTCTGAGGTCACCTCTCCTTTCTCTAATTACGTAGAAGAATCTTCCTAAGCGGACTCTTGTCCAAACACGTTACCTACAGAATAACTGTGTGAGTGCTGTTTCCCTCGCTGGTGATGCCCTGGCCTCTTCCCTATAGGCAATGCATGTGGAGAGCAAAGGATCCCAGCGAAACACTCTCTCCTCTGCTGCCCTGTCCCCTTCTGCTTGGTGTGTGCCTGTGGCTGTGTGTGTGTGCCTGGGTGTGCGTGTATGGTCCAGTCATGGTGTAACTATTTTTAAACCTGCCAAAGGAAATACTGTTCCTTTAGGGAGATGATCACTGAGTTATACCACCGTGTCTGCATGTGTGTGTGTGTGTGACTATAAAACGAAACAGGCTTGGCAGACCAGACCTTTGACATACATAGGAAAGATAACTTTAGGTATTGTTTTTCCTTCGTCGCAACACAGGAATAACTAGAAGTGCCATAGGGCTTAAAGAGGTCTTCATGTTTCATGTTTTGTAATAGCTGCTTGTATTCATCAGCCAAATCGGTTCTTATCAGCACAGTTTTGCAGATTATCCCAATCTCTTCTCTTAAGTACAGTTGTAGAAAGAAAAGTGACTGCAGAACGTCCTGATAATAAAGACTAAGCTCTTACATAATGCTCTTTATCAGATGGTGTCCTTACTTGGCTAGCTTTTGCTGAGTATTACTTGCATGAGGTGTATTTAGGAATACCTCACTTTAAGGACATTTGGTGTTCAGTTCCTTGGAAAAAGGAAGCCTTCCAATAAGCGGAGTGCGTTTTCACACAGTGTTTAAGGCTAGTTTGCATTATTTATAAAGTGTTAGAAGCGGAAGTCCTTACCTTTTCTAATGTCTCTGCAGAGCCAAAGCAATTATGGATGAGCCAATTGGCTTCTGTTTTCCTTCAGGTATTAAATAATCAGTGTCTGCAGAAGCCGTAGGGTGATAAAAGGGAAGAATGCTGAACTAATGCATGGAGGGCAAAGAATATGTTATAGAGCCATGGCATTTTGTGGTCCTGCGTTTTGGTCCATTTTATGGACCACTGTGTGGTCCACTCTTCTGCCTACAGCAGCAGTATCTTCATATCAGTGCCACGAGGCATGATGTGAATCGGGCTGTTCATATCTGCCTAGCATTCAGCAGGGAATTTCTCTGCTAAATTGAAAGGGGAGCAAGCAGGAGCCATCCTTACATCTTTTGTTCTCTAGCAAGTCATTCTGTATAAAGGGTAGACCTCCTAAGTGCAGCTCTCCTATTATGTAGAAACATTTTTGTTAATTTGATTGTTCTTGCTTTTTAGGTTGGCCTTTTAATTAACTCTTGCAGCCAGCATAATTGTCTGGATTAAATTGTGTTATGGATGTGTACACAGATACCCAGGAAAGAGCCTGCTGTGCGTGGAATTTTCCCTTCTTTAGTATAGTCATTGCTCTTCATGCCCACGTTCTTTAAGAAGGATGTTTTTCCTGTCTCAGCATAAGCTGGAAGAGATGGTGTCCTCAGATATTTATAAAAATCTTACTCTTCTGTGTTCACCTTCTTCAGCATGTGATCCAGCCTTCAACTGAGAGTACCCACCTTCTGCTATTGCTCTGGGTTTCTGCTTCCATGCAAACCTCTTGCGTAAAGGACCTAGAACTTGTGATGGGAGGACAGCCTGTAGGAAAAAGAATAGTTTTTCACATTGGGAGCAAGGTCCTTACATGTTGTGAAGTTACATCAAGCTTCATCTCTGAGGACGCACAGACTGTCTGTTCCATAGGCTGTCGCCTCCATATGTACCTAGCAAAGCCTAGGGAATACTGGAGTAATGCCTCTTTAGGAAATGGCCAGCTCTCTAAGGAAGAAAGAGTTCTGTTCTGTTTCTCTTGACGGGTTACTTCGAGGTCTGCCAAGCCTGGCTCGTTGGTTGCTTGCTGAAGACCCTCTGTGTTGTGAGAATGGTTATTACCAGGGAAGGTTTTTTCTTTTGTTTTACCTGCCATCTAGATGCTGCACAGAATCTCGCAAAGGAACAGAGCGTCGATAAGCCAAGCCAAGACCAGCTGAAGGTAAACCCACTGCCTGGTGGTTTCTTTTGTTGTACAGAGTGCCCCTTCTCTGTACCTGTGCATGGTGGACTGCCAGAACTTTGTGCTGCTTGGCTGCCAGGTCCTCACCTTCCTGAAAAGTTCTTGGAGTCCACAGAGCAGGGACAGAGTGACCCTTCTCTGTTCTCTTCATGACAGAGTACCAGTCTCTGAGCGCGTTTCTCTGGGGTGTAGCACTTCTAGTCCTCAGTTCCTCCAGCGTGCTCTGTATTTTCATGTCTTTCCCCTCTCTCTCTCATCCCGTCTCTGAGTAGGAATTGCCAAATAATTAAGCTTTCTAAAATGTGTGAACAAGTTTTGTGTTTAGTAGGATTGTTTTCAGAAGCTTTCAGGCAGAATCTGAAACCTAGGAAAAATCTTTGCACATTCATTCAGACTTGTTTCCAGGTGTATTTTGGGATTAAGGTAGTCTGATCCGGGAGGTGTCTGTTCACATTGGGGCCAGAGAGTCACAAAGATTACAGTATTACTGCATTAAAGATGGCAACTTTTGGACTTTTGCCAATCTTAAGATTTTTCCTAGGTTGTAAGTATATTGTTTGTGCTGATTACAGATGCATTAGCCTTTTAGGGTTAATAGTGTGTAGTTTTTGTTCAGAAACTTTTATTTCTCTTCATAACTTCTTGGTCTTGTACTGTGGCTGGTGACTTGGAGTGGAAGTGCTACATCCCCTTGTCCCTATAAGCTCTGATGGACTAACATCTGTTTTTTCCTTCCTTTGTGCAGTTTAGCCAGCAAGAAGGTTCTGACACTAGCATCGTGGAGGGTGAAAGCAATGCTTCTGCTTTGTCTACCTCAGAGCAAAAATGTGAGAATTATGAAGGTGAGTGCCAGCTTTTCTGCAGTAACACAATGTGTGTAAGCTCTTCTGCTCCTTCTCTAGTGTAACACTTTGAGCTCTGCATCAGCAAAATGCTGGAGGAGGGTGTGGGCAGACTAATAAAAACCTGTTGTGGAATATAATCTTTAAAAATCATCATGTTATGCTAAAGATTGAGAGAACTGCAAATGTTCACCAAAGGTATTTTATGATAGACGTGTTTTCTACCTTGGATATTTGGTCTCATAAATAAACAAACACTTGGAATAAAATGGCAGGTTAAGCCCCAAAAGCACATCTATCACTAAACAATGCCATGAAAAATCTTACAGACCCTGCTGAAGGGTATTTTAAATGCTGAAATTATACTTGTATCTATTTGTTTTCCCAAGGGACTCTCCTCTGATTACATAGAACACAGCCTGAGCCGTCTGCAGTCATTACCTGCAAACCAATCAGGGAACTGAATAACAAGGGATTTTTTTTTTCTATCCAGCTTAAGTGTAATGCAGCTCCTTCATATTTAGACATTTCCTTTGTTTTAATGTCCAGGGATTTCTTGCTGGTTCACTTGTACGGATTTCTGATGTTACAGAAGCAATTTTCCTGTTACTCTACTTTCTATTCTCACGTCGTTCTCATATCAAGGAACCTAATTTGTAAAACCAAATCTTTGCAAGTGTAGGTATTTCCAGATGAAATGGGAGCAGTAGATATTTTCCTGGCTGCATGTACAAAAGATGTAGAAACAGTCCTTGTCTGTGCCTTTGAAACTCTTGGCACTGAAGAGAGATAGATTCAAGGTTATCTTGAAATTCAGACTGCTGAGTTTAGGATCATAGACTGCACAGGCTAAAAATGAGGCTGAAGCATGGGGTTATGGAGGATGGATTCTTACCTTCCCGCTTCCTATTTTGAGCCTGGTTTGGGAATTCAGGAGCTCTCATCACTGGAAAGTTGAACTAAATACAAACCACTTCTTTCTGTATCTTAAATCGCTCAAGAAATCTACTCAGAGTTATCTTGGTTACAGCTCTGAAAGAAATGTTTGTTTTTCTGTACTGCGTCTCAAAAGAAAGGTAATGCTAAAGAGAACCTGTGCAGTTATAGAGACACTGGGAACACTGGGATGTTCCTCTGACCTCTGATGGCTGTGCAGTGGCTGTTCTGCCGGGTTCACTTGGGTAGCTACATGGGTACAGATGTGTGGCAGATCTAACATCCCACTACACTCATACCTCAAAACTCTTAGCAGTAACTGGCTGTAAGAAGGAGCAAGAAAGATTTCTAAGGTTGGATGGGGCCAAATTTTTCTCTGCTAGTCTCTTAATGTAGGTGTGGCATGACTTAGATTCTACTTGGCTCTTACAGACAAAGACTTAATAGAAAACCTCTCTAAAAGCAAGAAGCCTAAACTGGACCTAGTGTTTGAGGAATGGGATGTAGCTGGTCTTCCATGGTGGTTTTTAGGCAACCTCAGAAGCAATTACAAGTCCAGAAGTAATGGATCAACAGATATTCAGACTAACCAGGTGTGTAGACATTTTAAATAGGTGCGCTGTGTTCTCTTACTCTCTTCTTTTGGGTTCCAAGTAAATAAAATATTCTTCTTCTTTCTTTCCCTTTCACACTCCCAATATTTTCAGCCTCTCCCTTGTGTGCTCCTGTCGCAGCCTTTCACATCAGGTGGTTGGATACCTGTAGTGTTCTTAAGTAAACTAGGCGCTCTCTGAGGGCTGTGTTCAGCCGTTGGAAGTCCTTCTGCACTCCAGAGCATTGATTGTATTTCAGGAGTTGCCTCTCTTTTGGGTTGAAAGTTGTTATGTGGTGCAGCTGGCTGTAGCATGGTGGCCAGCCGCTGTATGGCCAGCTAGCAAGGGGAATAAGCTTAGAGCTGCTTGCAAAAAGGGGTGTCTTTGTGAGAGTAGTGAGCTGCCCCTTTCTCTCCCAGGGGTGACTGGAGAAGCTGCCCAGGGCCAAGAAGGCTGTTAGTGAGGAAAAGGGGAGAGGCACTCACTGTGACGATGGCTGCGGTGCTGGTACTTCTGCTGCTGCTAACCTGAGCTTTAAGTGGTCTCTGCTGTTTCATTTCCAACAGGACGTAGACACTGCCGTTGTTTCAGATACTACTGATGACTTGTGGTTCCTCAACGAATGCCCGTCGGATCAGAGCAGTGCTGCAGTCAAGGTGGAAACGATTGACTGCGAGGAAGTGAAAGAAGGTGACAAAAAGGTAGTTCCTCAAACAGCCACAGGGCGTGTGCATTTCTAGCCAGTATCTGCAAGATTAATAAATGAAAAGATTTGAAGAGGAAAATCTCAGTTTACGTTGTGTTAGCTTTCAGTGTAAGGTAGGCTGGCCTGAGTCTGCTAACTGAGGTAGTATTGAGATTGGTCATGAGTAGTTAATCAAATATGTGTTAAAAGGATTGAGTTCATGATTTCTTCCACAGAAGGTAGTAGGACCACGCAGGTGTGCGTGTGTTTGTATTTGTATGATCCTTGTGTGCATCAGAGAGAGGTATGAGTTGGCCACAGGCAGATACAACTGTAAACCAGCCCAGCAACAGTTATCATCATTCTGGAATAGATACAGTACGTAAAATGGCTTTTCCTTCACTTGCAGAATTACTTAATTATCATGGTGATTATATAGTCATTTTAGTTTTGGTGTACAGTGCCAGGCACATCATAAATAGAGATTATTGCTCCTGTCTAACATTTCCACTCCTTCCAGGTGACCGAGGATGCATGTTTGCATGACTTTGAGGATTCTCAGTGCTTAAGTGATGACACAGATACAGAAGCTGTTTCTGAGGTAGGCATCCTTTAGGTCAGTGTTCCTTGTGTGGAGTGTGCTGCATCCTAGCTGTAGCTGGAAAAACTTGTCCTACAGCTACTACTGGTTGTGGTAGGAAAAGCTGATTCTTGTATGGGTTTCAAAGGCCAAGAAAAGTAAAAAATCAAGCACAAAAACTTTTTTGTAGCCTATATGAAGGAATGTAGGGAAGTTGGCTTGACCTGGTCTGGTTTGTTTTGTCTAGGGCTCTGTTAAATTCTAACTGGATGGGCACTGAGCACTGGCAGCCCACAAATGCTCTGACCCACCCAGTCCAAAGATGCCATGTATCTCTCCTGGCCACAGAGCAGTCCTGGAGCTTAGGTGATTTTGGTCGCTTTTTTGGTCAGTGTGAGAGAATTCATGTGTGCTGTAGCTAGGAGAGGTTTTTGACTAGGAGATTAGGATTCTTGTTTCATTGTACACCCCTTTTGTGCCAGGGTAATTTAATATCAGCATAGGCAGCTGCTGGCTTTTTACTCATGATTTAACTTGTCCCTTCACACACCTAGGAAGTCAATGAAGATTAGGCCCTCAGTTTCCAGCACGATCAGCCTAATGGTATATGAAGTTAGTATTAACAATATCCATGCATATTTTAATAAGGTTAATTCTGTATTGTCCTCTGAAAGGAAATCTGGAGTATAGGCTGTGGTAGAGATTTGGAAATCTAACGTAGGCACTTTGTAATCACAAAATGAAGTGTTCATACTCACGTTAGTGGAAATTTCTGTGTCAGGATCAGGGTTCCATTGAGTCCTGGGTGTCCAGGTCAGCTCTGAAGCTGTCACTTGTTTTGTGGTAGTCTCTGGGATGAGAAGAGAATCCACTTCTCATCTCACCCCATTTTTCTGAGATACTTGTATGGCCTTTGTCAGGAGAACCTGCGTACCTGCTGGTGTCTTGGCCCTTGCAGTGCCTCTGTAAGGAGGGACCACAGCTCTTTTCTCTGTTTAAATGAAAAAAACAAGGTGGAAAGAGAATAAGCAGTAATTACTGGGTTGTCACCCCTCCCCACTGCCCCATTCCTCTTCTGAATTCCCTCATGGTAGATATTGAGGGACATCAAATTCGTGTTCTTTCATCTGTGCTTTTTTTCTCCCAGTCCTGCAGGCTACCTTTTGAGATTTTGTTGTAAGTCAGCAAAAGTGTATCACGATGCTCTCTGCAGGTGATGGCACCAGAATTTTTTAGCATAATTTTCTAGACTCTGTGTGCTTGACAAATTAGGATGTCCCTGGCATTGGAAAGCTGAATCATAGCTCTGAACTTGGGCAGCTCTTGCCTTTGCTATGTGGAGTAATCAAGTAAGCCACTATTAGCTGTGCAGATTCAACAGATGCTAAGTGATTAGTGAGTCTGGGAAATATTCCAGACTGATTCCAGGAGCTCTCCCCTTGAATTTAGAGTGAGATACTGAAAATTCAATGAACTGCACAGCTTGAGAACATTGTATTCTTCCAGAGTGCTGAAGGCTGGGAGGAAGGAAGGACAGATTTTAATGCTTAAGAGACCTGCACCTGTAGAATGCACAGGGGTAGTCAAATTCTCTTCAGGCTTTCTGAGGTGCTGATAATCAAACTAGCAGTCATGCATTTGCAAGCTTATATTTGGTAACAAATGTCTGTGATGAAGCTTCTTCGCTGCTTTTCCTATGTAGAGGAAACAAGTCGTACACAAGAATACACTAACTTGCTACTGTTTTTGTCTGCCTCAATCATTCCTCAGGACTGCTGGCAATGTACCAAATGCAAGAAATTTAACTCTCCAGGCAAACGGTACTGTTACCGCTGCTGGGCCTTACGGAAAGACTGGTACTCAGATTGTCCCAAACTGGCTCATTCTCTTTCTCTGTCCAACATTGATGCTATGCAAAACAAAAATGATGATGGAGGGATAGATGTCCCGGACTGCCGAAGGACTATTTCTGCTCCAGTTGGCCAACCCAAAGACCTGTACATGGCAGAAAACAAATCGTGTGTAGATCCCTGCAACTCTGTCAAGTCTTTGGATTTGGCACGAGAATGTGAAAGGAAGGAATCTCTGTTGCATTTCACTGAGCATAAAAAGGAGGAAGAAATACAGTCTTTAGAGAGTATAAAAAAATTGCTGAATCCTTGCTACTTATGCCATCATAGACCACGGGATGGGAATATTGTCCATGGAAGGACTGCTCACCTTGTGGCCTGTTTCAAGTGTGCAAAGATGCTGAAGAAAAAGAGATCACCTTGCCCAGTGTGCAGGAAAGAGATTGAGATGGTGATCAGGATCTTTATGGGGTAGTTGTGCCGGTTCAGGCCTTCTCCACCAAAAGACAGCACACAGGTTTTCTTGCACTCACACAAACCCTAACTTCAGAGCTCAGCTGGTGAATACCAAAGAGAATTAAGACCCAAATCTGACCAAGAACACTGAGGAATCCTCTGCATTTAATGAAGCAGCATCCCCTTTTCGATGTCCATTTAAATTAAATCCCTTAGGGAGCAGGGAGTGACCAGCACATTCGGATCAATGCCCCAGCTTTGAAATTGTCTAAATCTTCCAATTTCAGCTCAGTGGTGTCACTAGGATTCTCTGTTCTGACAACTGGTCCTTGCAGAAAGCAAGTTTTGGAAAGAGTTATAACTTTGGCTGTTGGAGTCCTGTTCTCCAGTAAGTCAAACCCTGTGCAATGCCTTCTAAGCGGGGAGTCTGCATCTGAGGTATATATATGCAGGGGTGGGAAAGAGGGTGGGAGGGAAGGGTAGACCAAGGTGTTTGCAATTTACATAAGCCATTTCTCCAAGGATCAGTTCTCCTGAGGGCAGTGAGAAGCAAATAACCTGGTTTCTGATTTTTTTTTTGTTTAATGTAGGTTTGTTAGGTAAAGTGAAGGTCCTCCTGCTCCCAGACTTGAAATAAGTCCTTTCGAACTTTTAATCCGTAGCTATCTCAGGTCACATGATACCAGATTGTTATTGTATCTTTTAATTCCTATTGATACTTTTTTTTTTTTCCCATTTAAATACAGTTCTATGTCATCTTGCATAGCTTTGTTGAAGCCTGTCCAACGTCGGGGCAGAATCTGGTCTGCCAGATGGCTTAAATTATACCAGCTCTGTACATGCTTCGTGGTGCTCTCATAGCTCTGTGCTTACAGCACCATTGCAACTTCCAGCTGCCTCAGCTCATGAGGCCCGTCTAGATAGAAGATGCTCACCTTAGAGTGTGATGTGGCTTTAAAGACAGGATATGGGCTTTTGAGGGAAAAATCCGATTCCTGTAAAGCACCGATTGCAGCTGGTTAGTCTATGGGCTGTGCTTGGTGTTATTTTTTTTTTAATTTTCTCCACTGATTTTCTTTTCCTGTGATTTAACGCTTCAAATCTGTTTGCACCATTTATGTTGTCCTTCAGAGCTATGCACGATTGCTCTGCTGGCTGTTAAAACTCAGCAAGAACTTGCAGTTTAAAAACGTCTAACCCTTTTCTGAGATCATATCCTAGAGTATGTTCAGATCTTCCTCAGCCTTCCTGCTCTCCAGGGCGTTGGAGGGCCTGTGGCATGCAGCAGTAGCAATAGTGCCTTCACTGTTTCAGGTATACAGGCATTTGAATTCAGTACAGTGTGTAGAATAAACCCTGTTTTGTCGTCTTCTCTGTCATTCCCTCTGTGATCTAAGAAGTACACCTGAAAAAAGGGGAAAAAAAAAAAAAAAAGAGAGAATATAGTGCTCATACCTTAGTGCTTCTGTAGGCTGTTCCCTGTTGTTTTCCACACTCCTTGTGCTGGTCCAGCCCTGGCAGGTCAGGTATCCAGTGGAAGGCCCCAGAACCTGCCCAGCAGAAGGTCCCAGCAAACTGCCATGTCAAAGTTGTTTCTCTGCAAAGATACCAGAGTAGGTGCTATCTGCAATCACTGCCAAAAGTCAGATCCATTTTATATTTTGCATAGTATTGTGATTATTTCTGTGTTGACTGTAATTTAGACTATTACTGTTGGCTGTTATGTACAGTTGTGTTTTAAAAATCGGAGGATAACTGTCTGGTGTTCTGATGCACTATCTGCAAGTCCATGGGAAACAATCCACATGGAAAAGCTGACTTATTGCTGGTGATGCACTTTAATCATGCTAAGATCAGCGGCGTTACCGCCTGGAATCACAGAAGGGAGTTCCTGCCAGGTAGTTTCTTCCTTTTTCAGGTAGTTTCTTTACTTTTAATGGTCTTGGGCTCAGCAGGGTGCGTTGTGGCACTTTGTGGCACTTGTGAATACTGTGAATCCCCCCTTGCCCTGATTGCTTCTAAGAACTAAATGTTTAGCTAAAAGCAGTTTTAGTGAATTGTTAGATCTGGCCGCACTGAAAAGCAGGTAATTTTTTTTTTTTTGGTCAACACAAGAGTCAAAGGAGCTTAAGTTCTAGTAGTGGGGTTGAATATCCCTACCAAAATCCTACTGAGGTCTGAATGCAACTTCCCTTACTAAATAAAAATTGTGGTCAGTGTGGCAGTTTGTGATAAAAAGCAAATCTGCATAACTTTCAGCGTAACGTTCCTTGTGTCTGTGACTTCTTGTTCAGTATAACCACAGTGTTTACAACATGCATTTGCAAAATCCTTAATTCTTTTTAACTGAAATAGTTAGTAGACATAAGATACCACAACGTTACAGTTGATTTTCCCTCCTATAGCCGTATAAGCTATTGCAGTGCAAGCACATTGTGTGGATATAACTTGCCCAGGTTGCAGCTGGGGCTTGTGTGTGGGGAGTTTTGGTGCAGGAGAAGAGAAGAATGTTTTATTGCTTTAACTTAAGTATAAGTCTAAATAAGTAGCAATTTACCAAGAACTGCTCTTCTGACACTTTAGGAAGCACAGGCTTGAGGTATGAGTTGAAGAGCTAGCTCAAAGCATTCAGCTACAATACTTACATTGCGGTGCAGATGAGAGGTTGTCCAGGCGGTGCTATTACTTTCCTTTTCTACAGCCGCAGCAATTAGAGAAACCCGTTTTTTTGGAGGAGTTGAGCATTTACCCGAGATGGGTGTGAACTTGGGTTCTCTGAATACATCACTGGTGTCTCGTAGCGGATGACAGTTCTTCTCTCTTACAGTGATTTTACTATGAAGTGCAATATGAGAGAAGAGGTCCTTGGTAATCTTAACCAGTTGTTGCTGCACATCTGTTAGAAGTGTTGAGCATAGCTGTCTTTCGATGACCAGACTAGAAAGGTTTATCTGTTTCACTGCTTTTTTCTTCAATGACATTCGATGCTGTTCCTCAGGAACCTGCTGAAGTCTCAGTAGCACAAGCGTACCTGTAGGTCAGGTTTCATTTACTAGATCCCTCAGCTTTTCAGCCAGAAATTTTGGCACCAGCTATCCCCAGAAGCAGAAGATTTCTTATTTTGGTGGGTATTTAAATACAGTATGGGCACCATGAGGCTCGCAACTCTATAGTGCTGTTCAGCACATTATAGCGCTCTTGCCGTGTGAACCCATATGTACATGTAAACTCTGTATTGGTAGCCAGAGGTACACAATTGCATTTACTCCTGAAAGTCTTTCCAGTTTAAGTGCCTCTTCTCAGTTAAACTCAGTGAGTTGTTTGCGGAGATGCACAGCACATCAGCCGTTTCTTTAACTCTCTCTTCAAAAAATCTCAGCGTTCCTCCTCTGCTGAGATGTATTATCGAGACAATTTAGCCTAAACAAAGCCATTACACAAATTACAAAGATCCTTTGGAGCAGCCCCCCAGAGTGCTTATTTCTTCTGAATGGTGGCTGTTTCCACAGACAGCTATGAACTTTCTGCCTGTGTTACATATTTATTATGGTGCACGGAAACCATAACGCAGCTTGCTAGGGTCTGCTCCATCCTTCTGCGTCCAACATAGATGTATCCGCTACTGAGAAGCTGTCCTTGCAGAGAAAATGGCTGTTGGACAAATGGAAGTGGAGTGTAAACTGAGTGTCTTAAAACCCATCAGGGTAGCTTGCTTTTGCCTGCTCACGCTCTGCCTGTTCTGAACTTCATCTTCCAGTCCTGGAAGAAAAAAGAAAATGTTCTCACGAGAGGCCTTCAGTGAAGGCTAACCACGCTGGAAGATGCCATGATGAAGTAATTGAAGAAAGAGCCAGGGCACTGGTATCCATTCTGTCTTTGTCCATAAGCTGAGCAAGGAACTCCTCGAGCCCTGTGCGTGCTCTTTGGCCACCTGGACGTCAGCAAGCAGCATCAGGATCCTTGAAAAGGACCGTGACGCTGTTCTATCCAGAGCAAGAACAAGACCCGCACATGATAGGGGAGTGATAAACTCTGCATTTGGAACAGCTCCAGAAGCACACATGACCTTCAGACAGCAGCTTTTCTGCTCTGGAAATCCTTCTTTGGTTGTCTGTCCACAACGGATGGAATTTTCCTTGCTCCTTTGAAAACAAGCGAGACCCTGCTTGTGACTACGTGGTAGTGTCTCGCCAGCAGAACCGTCAGCTGCCACAAGCTGGGTTACACATCCCATCAGCTTGCTCTCTGCACCTTATGATGATTAATATGGGCAGCTGTTGTGATTGCAGCCCCGTTCTTCTGTGCTATTATACCCTGGTAACGTGCACTTGCTGCCCACACATCTGTGTGGACACCCCGTGCCTGCCACAGCGAGTGGGTGCTTCAGACGACGTAGCCGCTGAGCTCAGCAATTTTATCTTCAGAGTTCTGACCCCTGGAAGCCATAACCACCTCTGAGGATCAGCCTGAGAAGAGAGATG